TTCTGCATTATTCAACACTTTCGTGTGTGCAAACACCTGCTGCCTCCACCACATATAGTAGTTCCTTCCACCAGCTAATATGTCACTACATTACAAGCCAGCAGGAAGAACTACTACATACGATGAAGGAAACGTGTATTTGACCCACCTGCCTGTTGTGGCATTTAGAAACACAAGCTGCAGGAAAGGTCTGCATAGAAGAGCAATACAAGGCAGAGTGCTTACATAGTAAAGCGTACACACAGACAGCACACAGTTAACCTTTTGATCACCCCAGATGTTAACCCCTTCCTGCCCAGTGTGGTTTTTTATTAGCACTGATCACTGTACTAGTGTCAGTGGCAGTCAGTTCCCCCCAAGTGTCAGAATGCCTGCTTGCAGTCCCACTATAAGTCACTTATCGCCGCTATTACTAGTATAAACAAGAAAAAAAAAAAGTGTATATATATACCATTTTTGTAGACGTTATAACTTTCACGTAAATGAATTGACACATATTGGTATTTTCTTTTAGCAAAGACATGTAGCAGAATATATTTTGGCCTAAATATATAACATTTTTCCCAAAATTGTCGGCCTTTTTTTTGTTTATAGTGCAAAAATAACGCAGAGGCGATCAAATACTGCTGAAAGAGAGCTCCATTTTTAGGGAAAAAAAGGACAAATTTCATTTGGGTGCAGGGTTGCAAGACCATACAATTGTCAGTTAAACTAACGCAGCACCGTAACGCAAAAAATGGCCTGGTCAGGAAAGGGGGTAAATCCTCTGGAAGGTGAGTGGTTAAATCTACATTGTCCCCAAGTGCAAAATTTTATATTTTCTCAAATAAAGCTCAACTGCACTTTGTAGCTTTGTGCCACTCTGTTTTCGTTATAAAAATAGGGGGGCCTTATTTTTTTAAATCTCATCTGTTTTGTCAATTATTGAAACATTTCAATAAAAACGTAAGAGGAAAGCTGTGATTGAGCATGGGTGTGTTCCAGAAGCAGGCTGTGTTTGTTTGGGGAGCATGGTGGCTGAACATACTATCCAATACTGGCATGCTTTGTTTGTGCACAGGGTCCTTTACCTCTGAATGGCCAGCAAAAGGTGAAAACTGACCATGCTAATGCAGGTCAACTTTGCTTTGTATGGTCAGTCTAGAACAAGGAAGAAAGGCGACTGGCAGGACCAACCAGGTACTTCAGCTGGAAGTACGTGAAAATGATAGACATGTATAAAAATACACGTGTTTTTGGTAGAAATGATATTTCTACATGGCAAATAATTTACTAGCAGGTGTAGTAGAGTAACAGAAATCCAACAGTCGTGACATGCATGCTGCTGATTCTGTGTAATTGAATCACTAATTGAAAGAGGCATGTTCAAAATAATAACAGTGTGGAGTTCTATTAGTGAGGTCATTCATTCTTTGAAAAACAGGTGGCAATTATTGCCCTTATTGAAGGAAGGCAGCAAACGTTGTACATGCTGGTTACAGTGCATTTCTCTCTGAAATTCTGAGGAAAATGGGTCGTTCCAGACATTGTTCAGAAGAACAGCGTACCTTGATTCAAAAGTTGATTGGAGAGGGGAAAACATATAAAGAAGTGCAGAAAATGATAGGCTGATCAGCTAAAATGATCGCAAATGCTTTAAAATGGCAACCAAAACCTGAAAGACGTGGAAAAAAGCGAAAAACTACCATTCGAATGGATAGAATAGCCAAAATGGCAAGGACTCGGCCAACAATCCACTCCAGGAAGATCAAAGAAGGTCTAAAGTTACCTGTGAGTACTGTTACAATTAGAAGACGCCTAGGTGAAGCCAAGCTATCTGCAACAAGCCCCCGCAAAGTCCCACTGTTGAAATAAAGACATGTGCTGAAGAGTTTACAATTTGCCAAAGAGCACATTGACTGGCCTAAAGAGAAATGGTGCAACATTTTGTGGACTGATGAGAGTAAGATTGTTCTTTTTGGGTCTAGTGGCCGGCGACAGTTTGTCAGACGACCCCCAAACACTGAATTCAAGCCACAGTACACTGTGAAGACAGTGAAGCATGGTTGCGCAAGCATCATGATATGGGGATGTTTCTCATACTACGGTGTTGGGCCTATTTATCGCATACCAGGGATCATGGATCAGTTTGAATACTTGAAAAGGTCATGCTGCCTTATGCTGAAGAGGAAATGCCCTTGAAATGGGTGTTTCAACAAGACAACGACCCCAAACACACCAGTTAATGTGCAACATCTTGGTTCCAGACCAACAAGATTGATGTTATGGAGTGGGCAGCCCAATCCCCGGATCTTAATCCAATAGAAAACTTGTGGGGTGACATCAAAAATGCAGTTTCTGAGGCAAAACTAAGAAATGGAGAAGAACTGTGGAATGTAGTCCAATCATCCTGGGCTGGAATACCTGTTCACAGGTGCCAGAAGTTGGTTGACTCCATGCAACACAGATGTACAGCAGTTCTCAGAAACAGTGGTTATACAACTAAATATTAGGTGATTCAAAGAAAAGCAAAATCTTCAAACATTTTTCAGTTTATATAGTGAATGTTTGAGTTTGTAAAGAAGACTACAAACACTGCAATTTTTTTGAACAGTCTAATATTCTTTGGAGGAACAACACAAATTTTGATGTATTTTTCTTCATGTTTTGATTTGGAATAGAATGTGTAGTGTTCCCAATGCATTTGTGTGCATGGAAATAAAAGCTATTAGAAGGATTTTGAGCTTTATCCACTTTTTTTCAACACACTGCTATTATTGTGAACACAGCTGTGTTTGTGTGTGTATTTATGTGTTATTTTTATATTTATATATATATATATATATATATATATATATATTTGAAAGTCTATTAGAATGATTTGTATTGTACTGTATGGCATTGTCCTTCTAACATGAAAGAAACCTGTTGGCTAAAAAAATGTCTGCTTCTTAGCTTGGATGCATTGTGTGATGGAAAAATATGTGATGCTTAGATTTCACCTTCTAGTTCCAAAGGCCAGCTTCTAGCACAAGATTTTCCATGTGATCAGGCTCAAGGTTACAATTACCAGACTGTCAGAATCAGAACATGTTTAACCACTTCAATACAGGGCACTTTTACCCCCTACCTGCCCAGGCCAATTTTCAGGTTTCAGTGCTCTCACACTTTGACAATTGCGCAGTCATGCAACACTGTACCCAAACTAGAATTTTTATAATTTTATGCACACACCTAGAGCTTTATTTTGGTGGTATTTAATCACCACTGGGGTTATTTTTTGCTAACTTAACAAAAAAAAAGACCGACAATTTTGAAAAAAAACATGTTTCTTTGTTATAAAAGTTTTGAAAATTAATATTTTTTTTTTAAGTCCGCAAACGTGCAACTATAAACGTAAAAACCTGTAAGTGTTCACAAAAAATGTGCAAGTGCAAAACACCACACGAAAAAGTGCACTTAGGGGTGTGCTGTGTCTTACCCCTAAAGGGGCTTGGACCGCTTACCCTTATCCCCCGGGGCACGAAGCTCCTGACGGGGACAAGGTTCCCAATTGGTCCTCCTGGCCAAAAGGCCTGGTGGACCACCGTTCCTTGTGTCCAGCCAAAGCCAGACACACAGTACTTGGTCAGGGGGCTCTCCCGAAGAAAAGCCCCCTAGGGATCAGGGGAGGAAGGAACCAAAAGGCCACACATCCTCCCCCTAGACTTCAGGGTAGGCCTGAGGACCCACACCCTCCATCCGTGAAAACACACGCATAAGTAACAGAAAAAGTGACAAACGTGGGAGATGAAATAAATTAAATAAATAGAAAATAAAAAAGTGGTACCGTGCCAAATTGTGCACAGACCAGGCCCTGAGGCCCGTAGCAAAAATTGCCCTGGTCCTAGCCAAAAGGCCTGGTCCTTAGGGCGCTGTGCAAAAAGAATGTAAAAACAGTGACCATGTGCCATGTTCACACAGTGGGGTCCCACACCCAGGTGTTACTAGTGGCACCCCTGAGAGCGTCTACTCAGGGGGCACCGAGTTTGCGGACTTTCTGCCTCCTCAGCCCCTGGCCAGACCAAGGTAGATCCATCCAAATCAGGAGGTACTGGGTCTTTACAGCTTTCCCAGAGGAATTACTCCCAAGGCCCCAGAACGAATCATGGCGCTCCCTGGTTTCTGTCCCTCCGGTACTAGCCTTCCGGACCCCCATCATACCAGTGAGGGTACTATACAACAGCCATCCCCGCAAAGCTAGAATGGCCGGGAGCACCCCCACTGGACACTGATCAGAACAGATACTACACTTGATCTTAGCCAAAAGGCCGAGAATAATTGTCCTTCATAAATTTAGGCCAAGATGTATTTTGCTACATTTCGTTGGTGAAAATAACCCAAATCAGTGTTTATTATTTAGTCCATAGGAAAGTTATAGAGTTCAAAAACCATGGTATATATCTGGTAATTGATCCGTCCTGAAGTACTGACGGCCAATCTATCTAATTTCTTGAGGACCAAAAAGGTCAGAACAATACAGATATCCCCCAAATGACCCCTTTTTGCAAAGTAGATAGTCTGACGTATTTCACAAGTCACCAGTGCAGTACAGCGTCATCCTATAACTGGTGTTCTAATTTTTTACACTATGATCAAAGTAGTATAATGTTACCATAGTAACATTGTACTTCTTTGGGGAAGTGATCAGTGTTTGTTTTTTACACACAATTTGCTTATAGCAAATAATTTCTTTTGTGATGAGCAAGCATTTAACTGAATGAAATCGATTCTTTCAGCTTTTTTTGTTGTGATTAGCTGTGATTTCGACACAGCGCGGCCCTGCGGGCACATGCTGAGCGCAATCCGGAAGGACTTCTATTTGACGCCTTCCCCGAGGGATGAGAGGTTTGCCCGGCTGTTATATAGACTATAGACCGGGCGAGAAGTGGTTAAACAATTTTGGAAAAGTCACAATGTACAGTATCTGTCTACCAAATTTTTTTTTATCTGTTATTAATGAACATTCAATGTCTTTCCAGGTGTGCCTCCTACACAGCTTTCTCGCTATGGCAATTTGGGTTCCATCAATGTCGGTGTTCTGCATGAAGCCTTGGAGGGATTATTGCCACAGAAGGAGCCTGTGCTTGTGACTGACAGAGAACCAGTGGCAAAATCACCAACTGACTCTGCAGCAGAGAAGTTCCTCCCATCCCCCAAGAGTGTAGAATTGCTAGTGAAAGAACGTGAACAAATACCTCCTGTTCTTACAGAGATAGTTATGCCTGCTGAAGAAAGCCAGTAACTGTTCTATTGGGAACATTGTGATGAGAGGTGGAATTTGTCTGATATTCTGAGATTAATGGGATACTCCAGTGGTGAATCATCCTCTGTGATTACATGCATTGGAGCAATGCAGCTCCATTAATTCTGAATTGACCACAACACCCCTTGCTAACAAACGTCCGTTGCATGTGTGGTGTGTGACCAGAAATGGTATATACAGTTAGTTTGGTGTGTTAAGTAGCCCATTCAAATGAATGGGCTGCCTTAACAAAACAACTGGACTGCAATAGTGCCCATAAAAATAAGTTAATAAAGACTTTAGAAAAAAAAAAAAAAATGCTATGAGAATCATTAAACCCTCAGTCAGGGTTTACATTCACTAGCTGTGCTTTAACACCTTCACTTCTAAGGGTAAAACAAATCTTAACGCCTAAGCACAATTACGCAACTCTGACATGTTAGTAAAAGCATACATATCACAACTACTTTGTACATCGAGGTGGATTACACCTTGTTTTTTCATGACAAATTGGGCTTTCATTTGGTGGTAAATGGTAATGGATACCTCCTGATGATGATATATATATTTTTTTAATATCAAAGGAAACATTTCCCAAAAAAGTAAAAGAAGTAAAATCCTGACCCTTGACCCAAACACTAACCCTGGCACTGAACTAGATCAAACCTTGATGTAGGTTTTTTTTTTTCTCTTTGTTTATGCAAGGAGAGAGATACAATGCGTCTCTCTCCTCCATTCAGAGAGGAAAATAAACAAGGCAGGGGGGGGTGTGAGCTGTACAGTGAGTGATCAATGTGTTAGCCAATCAGAGGTTATCACAGCGATCATGTGACCTGGAACTCGGGAGTCCCGGGTCCTGATCGTTAGAATGGGACCCGGAGCTCTCAGTGACACCTTGGTCTTTGTGCTGGGAGCGTGCTGTGCGGCGTGATCCTAGCACAAAGACAGGTATGCAAATATGCGGCCCCACAGAAAAAAAAAGCCCAGTTCTGTGAGGCTGCATATTTGTGTGACGTCGACATGAAGGGGTTAAGTATTATGTGCAATAAACAGGTGGATATTCTCATATAATGATCTGGCTTTAGCAACATAAGAATTAGATTTTTTATTTATTTTTTTAACTAAATAAGGCACAGCACATATTAGACAAGTTCCTGACCTGTGGCTTGCAGAGTGCAAGGGGACTTTCCGCAGAGCTTGCTGATTGTGGTGAAGCTTCACTTTGCAAAGAGTATGCAATCACCTGCAAGAAAAAAAAAAAAAAAACATGCACATGATTGGATGATGGAAGTTTAGCGGAGCTTCCCTTCGTTTAGGAAGCTTTGGGGATAATTCACTTGCAGATGAATGCAACTGCACTTGCACAGTGATTAGCCTATTTGTCTTTAGTAAACCACATAAGTGTCCATCACAGCTGTGTATCGCCTTCATCTTTAAATACTGGAAAAGGGCACTTATATCTACATAGGAGACCAAGGATCAAAAGGCAGTCTGTACAGATGATTTCTGTCCTCTTGTCAACAGTATCGCCCTCCTACATACAGAAGTATGTTAGCTGGCATTGCTGAACAGGAAACTGCCAGCTAACTGACATTTTCAGAGGGTCCAACAATAGCAGCCTCCATAATCTCTCTTGGGGTCTTTTAGGGCCCTTTGAGACCTATGGATTGTGGTAAGGCACAGTAAAATGTGAGTTACCAATATGCACAGTAACACAAATAGTACAGGGATGAAATTACTAAAGGCAATTCGACTGTGCAGTTGCCCTAAATTTCCCCCGAGCTCTGCTGATTACTTCAATCATGTGCAATCCAAAAATGCTTTTTTTAAAAAATAAAGTGAAGCTTTAACCCCATTACATTTACTTAGGAAAATTAGTGCAATTGCACTTTAGGAGTGTGCAGTCTATTTGCCTTTAGTAAATCAACCCCACAGTGGTATTCATTTTAAATGGCATCTCCAACTCATTAAACAGATGCAGCCTTGTTGCAATGCAGACCACAATGTACAGTAATGCACACACCATTCCTTGTGCTTCTTTGGGGAAAAATGGTGCAGCTCTGATTGTGCATCATTGTGTTGTGTTGGCAGCCTGTTCACATTAAATAGGCTGCCTTAATGTGGTACTAAAAGAAAAAAAATGATGGGCAGGTGCATTGCTTTGGTCAATCACAATGCACTGTATTATAAAGTGCATTTTGGGGCATGGTGGGCAAATAACCCACCACATGCCCTTACTGTTCGACTTGAACATCAAGGACATCATTAATGAGCAGTCTCCTAGCCTTCCAGGCAAACAATTCTCTTCTGGCTCTCCCAAGAAAAGATTTGGATGAGCATGACTATGAGCCCTGCTGGTTCAGGCAGCCAGGGATAAAGAAATTGAAACCTAACTATCACATTCATTGTCCATGTGGTCAATACATTCTTAAAGGAGTTGCTTCCACTTACCTTGTGAAGGGGTCATATATTCTGCCAATCAGCAGTCTCAGAACCTTCTCACGCAAATCAACCATTGCAAGATTCGTCCAAAGAATATGTAGATGAACATGACTGTATGATTCCTGCTTTGTTCAAGTAGACAGTGATTAAAATGATGTGACCAAGTTGTCACAATTGATTAAGCATGTGGTCAAGACACTCTAAAGAAAAATCCTGTATTCACCTTCTGCAAGGGCCATCTATTCTGGCAATGTCCAGTAGATAAGGACAACCTTTGTCCAGGTTTTAGATTCCTCCTTTTGTAAAGATGATGAAATTACTTTAATAGAAGCAAAGCTGTGGAAGTATTTCAAGTGCCTCCAGAGGATGCTTGACAAATCCCTTATGGTGACTGAATCAAGTGCTCGTTCTACAAGATTGGAGCATGTTGTCACAGTAGGATGTCGAGGGTTTTGAATCACCCCTTTGGTCGGTGTGTCCTTTATGGGATTGGCCAGATATATGACTTTACCATTAGAAGATGCTGTGGCCTTTAAGGGTGTACTTATTCACTGCATTGTTCTTGATCTTAGAAGGTGAAGCCTAAAGTAAGAGTGGTCAATATGGATTCCTGCCACAAGATGAACATCTGTTGAGTTAAAGGAGACTAAAGTTCAAGAGTCAGTTTCCATGCTGCAGAGAGGGTAGCTTCTGCATTTCTGGCTGGGAGACAAAGAAAAAGCCAGCACATAATCCAAGATGTCAGCAAAGAGCTTCATGTCAACATGCTTTCTGGTATTTTGGGGATTGTGCCATTCATACATGTCTTATGGGCACTTGGTGGCTTCTCTTTGGACATAGGTACAGCTTGGGTGACATACACATGGTCAGTCATGGCAAGCATTTCAGGACATATTTGGGAGGTCTTTGATCCTTCATGTCTCAGATTGGGCCACATAAGTTGCCTTGCTCCAGCAGGTCAGGTACGCTCATTTGAACTCTCAGACCCTTTCAAGTTCGGTTTTTGGACTGGTAGCAGTCAGAGCTTAGGTCAGAAGATATAGATTACGCCCTGTATGATGGCGAGCCTAAACTTGGTGGTTGGAGAAACAGAATCTTCTGCAATGTCATTGCCATCTGATGACCTAGAGGCTGGTGGTTCAGTAAGACACCAGCAAAGCAATTGGGGAGCCCTAATTCAGGAGCAATGGGCTCAGGACCAATGGCCTTTTTTGAGGGTCCAAGATCCTGGAGTTAAGAACAGATTTTCAGGCTCTCCTAGCCTTCAGTCACCTCATCTAGGGTGGACCTGTCCTGGTGAAGTTAGAGAACACAACGACTGTGGCCTACATCTGGAAACAAGGGGGGCACTCAGTGTCTCCCTCCTGTGGGAGATCTTGCTGAATCTAGAGGTCAATATCCTGCAGCCTACGTGCCCGGAAGGAAGAATCCTGGCAATGAATGGTCCAGACTGCTGCAAGCCTTTCGAGAACTAATGGGCTTGGTAATCTTTTCCAGAGGTAGACCTGTTCACATCCCCAGTCAACACCAAATTGCTGAAGTTCTATTCTATGGTCCAGCATCCACAAGCAAGAAGGGTGGAGGTGCTGATCGCAGAGTGGAGCTCCAGGACCGCTTATGCCTTTCTGCCTCTCCCTCTGATTCTCTGCTTCCTGCTGAGACTGTGCCAGGGGAAGGGGATAGTTTTAGTGTTGATTCTAGATTGGTGAAAGGGGCCTTGATATCCCTCTGCCCCAACTACTGAGTGTCAAAGATCCGCTCCCTCTGCCCGTAAGATCGGATCTTCTCTGAAGTCCCAGTTGTCCAACCTGACAGGCTCAAGCTCATGGTTTGGGTCTTGAGAGGCAGAGGCTAAATGATCTCGGGTGCTGTGTAAAGGTTGTGAGTACTCTTAAGAAATCAAAGAACAGCACTAACAATATAGTAGAAAATGGCATAAATTCACAGGATTTCTGCTGATTAAGGTTTTACACTGGATTCTTCAAAAGTCTGTCAAATTCTGAAGTTTCAGGTGGGCTTGGTTTAGCTTTTTCCGTAAGTACACTATGGGCCAACATTTTCAGCTATCTGCCTTCACTGGCATGCAGTGAGCATCCAACAATCAGTTATACTGTTCTTCAAGCTGCAACTTGGTTGAAACCTACCGAAGGGATTGTTTGTGCGATCTCCCATTGGTGTTGGAGTTGTTTGCATTAGGTGCCTTCAAAGTGGCCCCCTGTGGTACCTCTCACTGAAAACTGCTTTCCTGGTGCCAATTACATCAACCAGAAGACTGTAATAGCAGCCCTGGGTTTTAAAGAACCTTCTCTTACGTTCATCCCAGATAGGATGATACTCATTCTGATGCTCAAGATCATGCCTAATTGGCCTCCAGAGTCCATATCACACACAAAGTTGTTCTTCCTATGTCCCTCTGTGAGATGAGACCAAAATTGAGCTCTTTGGCATCAACTCAACTCGCCATGTTTGGAGGAGGAGGAGGAATGCCGCCTATGACCCCAAGAACACCATCCCAACTGTCAAACGTGGTGGTGGAAATATTCTGCTTTGGGGTGTTT